GTTTTTCACTTATCGTGGGTCTTCAGGGTACGGATCCCCTGCAATAAATGAGGGACTATTTCTATCTCAACATGTGATTCTTGACCTGCCATTGTGTATCTGTTCCTCCTTCCTGTTCCTCTCAAACCCAGCCGGTCGAAGCAGATGGCCGCTTGTCCTGGGCCTGGTTCTGCTAAAGGTTTCTTCCTCATGAGGAAGTTTTTCCTTTCCACTGTTGCCTTCATGCTTGCTCAAGATGAGGTGTGGTGAAGTTGGACTCAAAACAGTGAATGTTTCTGTACAGTACTCTGAGTTGACTTCTGATGTGATTAGGAGCTAACTGCTCCCCGGATGCTTACATCGCTGCTCACTGCCCCACCTGGGTGTATCTCAGGTGTGATGAGTTAAATGCAGAGCACTAATTTCACCATTGTATAGGAACATACATTGATGACAATGTCAGACTTCCCTTCCTTATTTAAATAAACCAAATTGAATTGAACATTAAAACTTGAACTTTAACTACAAAGTCTGCAATTTATATTGGATTACACAGAGTTTAGTTTTTTTTTACCACACAGTTTTGACTCATAAATAAAGACCCTCATCGTCTAGCACAGCACATTTTCTAAAATGCATACAGCGAATTTTAAACTCCCAGAATGCCTCACCAAACGTCTCCAGTACCTTTTCCAGCTGGGCGTTCTGTTTGGACTTGTACAGGACCTCCCCCACAGCAACAAACACCGACAGCACCAGCCCTGCAGCCAGCACGATGAAGATCCCCCCGATGTTCTGCACTCCCAGAGCGCTGGCCTCCTTGCTCTCCTCCTCGGGACAGCCGTTGCCTCTCCACCACTTCTCCTTCATCATGTGCAGTTTGCCTTCCTCTTGCAGCTGCAAAATGGCTATTGTGATCTTGTCTCTGTATGGGGAGCCTGTGAATCAAAAACATGACATGAGACGGGGGGAACATTGTAAATAGGCGGATGTGAAAGAAAAAAAATGAAACCTCATTTTTCCTGGTTCGGTCTTTGTTTTGTTGGTGGGTGTTTAAAACATTTTAAGGCTTGTGATCATAAAACCTGTCATGTTCTCGTTAGCTTTTTTTTTTAGAGGGAGTTTTATTTTTTGTAAGTCCTTCTCCAAATCCCACTAATCCGCATCTTTACAGAGTGATTCCAACATTTTCACTCATCTCTGCAGTGTGTGAATTATAATGCGCAGCGAGTTGGCAGCAATTATTTGGCTTTGTGCGGCAGAGCTGCTGTTGATTTTGACGAATTAGTTGCTTGTTGCAGATGCTTTTATGTGGCGATAACAAAACAAAAAAAAAAACAGAGGAGTCCAATGAGGTGAGCATTAAGTGGTTGCATATGTGTTTGGGATTAGACGTGGATAACCAGTGGAGATAGAGTTTTCCTCTACCACTGTGTTTTTATGCGTTGCAAGTTAACAAGCATGCAAAAACAGTGGGAATGTGCTATATTATATGACTGAAGGGATAATTCAGATCTTCTGAAGTGGGGATGTGTGAAACAGGGGTGCCTCCAGATGTTTTCAGAAGGGTGCCCAGATGGGGATGATTGTTAATCTTGGGGTGGCACCAGAACCAAAGGCCATAACAATTCACAAGTTTTATTACACTTTTGTTATATATAGGCTATTTCAAACATAAAGCAAAGTGGAAGTTAGGGAATCATATCTTGACGTGGCCTTTTTTAAACTTTAGAGTAGTGATGCACGATATTAGATTTTTGGCCGATATCCGATAGGTCGATATGTTAAAACTTATTTGGCCGATAACCAAAAACAATATCGATATTTTATATACTTTCCTTTGTCAGAACATAGCCCTCTTATTTAGGCTTATTTGCTACAGAAATTGTGTAACAGCTGTAAGAGCTGGTGACATAGATTCATTAACAGCCATATGCATATCACTTTAACTTATATTAAATGAAAAGTGTTAACTGTTATTTATTAGCATTAGTGACCTGCGATGCTGTCTCTCACTTGTGGAGGTTTGTTCCAGGTTCCTATAGCTGCAGTGTGGGATCCTCTGCACTCTTGTGCATGAAGAACAGCCTTTTTAAGTTCAAAGTTTTTGTCTATCCATTGTGCCGTAAGACTAATCATGCTAACGGGGCTAACACGACATCCAAATGTCTGTGGTAAAACTCACCCAAGTGCTATCGGCTATTAGCTTTTCAATGACGTCGAAAATGACGGCTTGTAACTTGGGTAAGGCAACGTCGGAAAAATATCTCCGACTGGGGACGATGTAGCGAGGCTCAACGTAGTCCAAAAATCTTCAGAATCCGACATCCTCAACAACAAAAAAATGCTTTCCATTCCACCGACATTTTGAATTTTCCTCTCCACTGTGAGTTCAGGTAGGCGCGCGTGACGTCATCACGTTGTGCTGCCACTGCAGGCATCTTTTTCACTGGGTTGTCATTCAAAAACAGCGCCTTTTATATCAGTGAGTTGTTTTGATAGAATTACCGATGTCAGATATTGAACTTTAACGCTAATATTCTCCATTACCGATACCATGTCGATAATATCGTGCATCCCTACTTTACAGTTAATAATAATATTGTGGACAATTAACCAGCATTCCTTGAAAGAATGGAAGCTGCCCATCACTTTTCATTCCAAAGTTTTAAACAAATACCTCACAAAATCTATGAATGCGTGGATGTTTACCAAAATGTAGCTATTATTTGTAAAATAGGCAAAGTTATGGCTACCATTATTTTTGAGTTTTGCTGTTGATCAGCTATAGCAGTCAACATGAAATGGACCTTTTTACAGATACATCATACATAAATTCATCAATGGTTGGCATTCTACCAATATATTCTACCATAGCTACCAGAAGTAGCTATGGATGCATTTGGTGTCTGACTTTATGCATGTGCATTATCCATATACAGTAAAGGTCCATTATGAGAGGGACCATTGTTCTCCTTTGGTGACACCTCTACTGTAGAAAGATTGTAGACACTGGTAGCTCTTTGAACAACCTCAGTTAGAAGAAAGTACAGTTTAGATTTAACACCAGTGACAATTAACAACAAGGGAGCAAGACCAAATGGGATTGCTGCCATCTTTAATCAACTCTAGTTTAAGAAATTTAATCCATCCGTCCGCCCGTCCGTCCGTCCGTCTGTCCATCCATCCATTATCTTTACCCACTTATTCCTTTTTGGGTCACGGGGGTCGCCAGTGCCCATGTCCAGCCATCACTGTACAAGAGGCGGGGGACACCCCGGACAGGTTGCAAGTCCATCACAGTGCCACATAGAGACAAACAACCATTCACTCACTCACACCTAGGGATAATTTAGAGTTACCAATCAGCCTAACATGCCTGTTTTTGGTATGCAGGAGGTACCCGGAGAAAATCCACGCATGCACGGAGAGAACATGCAAACTCCACCCAGAAAGACCCCCGACCGGGATTTGAACTGGGGCGACCTGCTCGCTGAGAGGCAGCAGCTCTACCAACTGCGCCACCGTGCTGCCTAAATCTAGTTAATGCAAATGCTATTTAATAAACCTTTGCATTATCATCATTAGTCCATTATTCTGGCAGAAATATAGAGAAGCTCCTTAAAACTCCCATAGGCTGCACTGGAAATGCTACAGCTAGCTGTTGCTGCTGTTATTTGATCTTACATATAAACATAAAAGCCTATATAAATGATTGTATAAAACAAAACTGATGACAATGCAACGTTTTATAGGACAGTATTGACATAAACTGTAAATTTGAGCTATCTGCAACAGGTAAGATATTAGATGTTCATAAGGTCCATGTCAGAAGTTGTGACCTGTCAGTTAAAGGTACAGTAGTGTGATGGAAGCACTAATAATAATCACACAGTATTTGAGAGATCCAAATATCCCACCTTAACTAAAGCAGAAAAAGATTACCACTCACCATGAGCCTGTCTGCTCTAAAAGCTTATTAGTGTATTTATGTGATTACAAACTCATGCATAATGAAGCCTAGTTTGTACATTTCCATTTCAGGCACTTGTCTCTAGCGGTTACAAAGCGTGACTTGAAGCAAATATATGATTTCTTTTTTAAATAATGCCACTCTGAAAAACATGAGAACGTTTTGTGCTAAATCACCAGGGGACATGAAATAAATATAACCCCAGGTAGCGGGGTAGCATCACTTTGTGTGCCCGTCTGAATCAGTTTTTCCTGTCATCTCTTTTTGTTAATCCTCTCCCCTTCCCATCTATCATTTATCTATCACCATCCATCACCCTTTCATCTTCAAGTCTCTGTGTATTCACACTGACAAGGGGATGGGACGACAAAATTGAAAATTACACACAGTGCCACAGATTTTTTTTCCTGTTATTGGCATATTCTTTTATTCCTCTTTTCCTTCTCTTTCATAAATACTTTTTTTTTTCTCCCCATTTTCAAAAGTGTACTCGTGCGGTGTTTTGTAGCACCTCGAGATAGCAGCCTTCACTTGTATTCCACATTTAAGCATGTACAAGTCTCAAAACACACTCCTTTATGGGACATCGCATGTGAGGAGCATTTCTCCACTTCATTTAAAGATGAGAGATCTATCAAGCATCCGAGTCCCCAGATTCTGGTTCCCCCTCATATTTCAGATGATTAATGATGGCCTAACAAAGCGGGCCTTGGATAAATGCTAATAGGATGAGTCCTTAGAGAGGAGGATATGGAGAGCGAGATCTGGGCGAACGGAAAAAGCACTGCGCTCTACACACTGTGCATTTACAACTAGCTAACAGATATTCAACTCCAGAGGACATCCATCATTCTTACACTGTCTCGCCTCTAGTATTAATAGGATCACAGTTTGAGTCGATAGCTAGAGATGATGCATTTGTGTTTTGGGCAAATGACGTTTAAAAGCCGGCAGTGTGGAAAAGGTTAAGATAACGTACAGCTCCTTTTGTTTTAGTGCTAAAGGTATGCACGGCAAGCTAACCTATTGGCTCAGGTTTCCACTGGATTTAGAACGGCAACACAAGAACACAGCCACCGCCAGGAAAATAAGAATACTGCTATTCTTTTACAAAGGCTGTGGCCATAAAAACAACTCCCTTTAAACTAATAAAGTAATGAACTATCTCAGGACCGGTTCTATCACCGAGGAAACATTCTGCAGGCTGTAATTTGCCTATTGAGCAATGAAAAGGAGAATTAGAAACAGAAATGGGTTAGTGGGCACTAATAGCTTTGAGATTAAACATTTTAATTAGCAACTATTATGCATTTAAACCCTAAACTGCTTCTTACTAAATTTAGGTAATTGGAATTAGATTTTGTTCTACTGTACATGAATAGAAAACAAAAATAAAACAACAGTCTGTTATAGGTTCTATATGCCCATTTCAAAGGCGCCACTGTAAGTACTTCTGCCCTTATAGGAGCACAGCAGGAACATATTTCACAGCTTCACCTCATCTTTCTTATAGCCAGGGCAACGACTGCACCCCTGCAGATTCAGAACCACCCAACAGTAATCAGCAGAAGCTGGGTCAAGATGTAAGCGGCCAGGAGTAATGCTCTGTGTTTTGATGGGCTGATGACAGACGCCATGATTACAGCTGGTGAAAGTGATCTCAGTGGCCTTGTCGTTGGCCCCCTAACCCCCATGGTTCCATCCTTTATTTGATTTTTATTTTATTTTTTTACATTTTTCAGTTGGTGTGCTCAGACTGCCACAGCTTTGAGCTAAACCTATACTTTGTTATGAAATGGTTGTAGTCAGGGCTTAATTAGAGCCGGATCCTGCCAGAACAGGATATGGGAACGCTCTTATTTTGACAGAGTGCGTTTCGGTAATTGCTTGCTTGGATCCGGTAACTCTCAGGCTTACTAATAATAAGGTTATGAGCAAATTTGACTGCTTTGAATGAATAAAACCTATATTGTATATGTAATCTGAAAATAATTACATAAACACTAATTTTAAACATAACAGCCACTTACAAGCTTCCTCATATCATATTTTTCATTCATTCAACCTTATTTTATTGTTGTCATTGTCTACTGTTTTGTTGTCAGTACTTTATATGTTCTGTCTGGAACAGGTCCCTCTTGCAAATGAGTCCCCGTGGCTCAATGAGGCTAGCCTGTATAAATAAAGGTTGAATAAATTAATGAAAAAATGTATACAGGCGAATCTCATTGAGCCACGAGGACTCTTTTACAAGAGGGACCTGTTCCAGACAGAACATATAAAGTACAGACAACAATAACAGTAATATAAGTAATATAAGAGCTGCCGCTTCAAGTAAGCATTTCCACTTCTACCCTCAAAAAAATCTCCGCCCCTAAAAGTTCAGTCAGGGGCAATTTAATAAAAATACAAAACTATAATTAAACAGCACAACTAAGTTGCAAATCAGTTTTACACTTTAAGTGGGTCATTAATAAAATGTTGATTATTTATTCAAAATATGAGAGAAATGTGGGTAATTACGTTATGGTAGCTACATCACGTGTCAAAACAACGGCACCGATTTGTCAAAATAACAGCTATCAAAATGTCAAAAAGACAGCAATTTACTTTCATTAAAAAAAAGGTCTTCTCATTGTACAACGAAACAACTGAGAATCGAAGAACAGGTGCGAGGATGCTTGAGAGAAGCGGAGCGTGCTCTATTCACACAAGGAGAGTTGTTGGTCAGGCTTCTTATTTTTACTTCACATTTCTGGGGGAGGACCCCCTCATTTGAGAAGCTGCATCTGCTTTTAGCTGATGCATTTACTGCAAGCAGATGCAAGCGCTCCTTTATTCTCTCTGAAGTGCTGTTTTTTTTTTGGGGTTTTTTTTTGTATTTAATGATCAAAAACAACTTGGAGAGTTTCGAGTAAGTCAGAGGGATTCTACTGCCTGACTGGACTTTTAAAATGATTTCTGTGCTGCACTCACACCCGTGCTCTAAGTGACCCCGAAGCAGAGCACGTCAAGCTATAAAAGGAACAACTTCTGTTAGAAAATGAAGACGGCTACAGAGGAGAATAAAAAAAACAAGGCACTTGAAATGCTGGTGAGGATGCAAACACGTTGTAATGCCATTCATAAATTCAGCCTCGCCTGCTTTTCATTCAGCCACACGCATCACAGACATGATCTCATCATAAAGATTGATCAACCACTCATATCTTATCCGCACCATATAACTTTATCTATCATGGCATCCCACTAACCCCACACACCAAACACAGCACGCCAAAAACGGATGCACAAACGGGTTGTGAGGTTTCAGGTCATTTACCCATAGGCGTTCCCACTCCATAAGCTTTGGAGTCTATGAGGCCTCCAATCTGTGTGAGGTTGCAGTTGCGCTGGGTGACAAACTCAATGGTGGTGGACTCCATGAGGAAGGCATAGTCAGAGGTCAGAACGCGCTGGATGCCCTCCTCCATGTTCTTCACCATCACAGATTGCCTCCTGCTGTTCATGAACTCCCACATCTTATCGTAGGTGGAGATTTTAGTCTTCTGCGAGTGACAAGAGGAAAAGAGTCCATCAAACGCTGCTTAATTTATATTTATCATGTAGCTTGTTTATCATAAAACACAGCTGAGAATAAAACGACAACTGTAGAGTTGTAAAAAATATGAGATTATGCCTCATAAATTAAGTCAGAGCCGCTTTTAATGCGTCAGTATTCATGACTTCAATTTTAGCAACAATCTCATAAACGTGCAATATATAATTACTTCCACGGGGGAAGCATGCACGCTATCAAAAATTTATGTTTAGTTCACAGACCTTTATAAATGCATTAAAAGATTCCACCTTGAAAAAACACAGATAGTTTATCCTCGCTTGCAAAAATGCAATGAATCAAACACGGGCGCCAACTGTAAACAAAGAATGTATCTAGAAAAATTTTACTTTCAGTGTTTTTGTTGCAGGTTGGTCATAAATATTGGAACAAAAAGACAAAGCTGCAAAGTGCACTATACTATCTCTTAAGGAACATACACTAAATCATAAAACTAGGCTCCACTCTAATGTATGTCGGAAATCTTTTTTTTTTTATCTAGTTCTTAGAAGAAACTATTTTTCAAAAAAATAGATACATTATTCTGTTAAATAAAACTTATAACTGGTGACAAAACCACAAACTTATTAGAAAATGTTTACTGTGGGCATAAATTAGGTCAGAACAGTCAAAATTTCCCACACAGCCTTAAAAAAATTAAATAAAATTTACCCCTGCTGGACATTTCATACATTGCAGATCGGTGGTAGATTCAAATTAAAACGAGACTTTTGACTCCAGAAACAAAATCATCTACTGAAAATGAAATACACTTACTACACAAGGTAAGATTTGTGCCTGCCATCTTGCTAAGTGCTATGCTCACTGTGCCATCAAATGCCGAAGCCATACATTGTCATATTCCTTGTATACTCTGTCATATGTACAAACACCCATATCAACAGCCTTATTTTACTTAAACAAATGTATCATGCATGCTGTAAAAACAGGGAACAAGATCATTTTGTAATGAGCCTCCTAACGGGCATTTGACCATGCTAACAAGTGTTAGCGGTAGCATAGCACTGGCCCACTGAGAAAACATTATTAACTTGGTCTGAAATCATTCAAGCCAGACCTTTTACATATATTATATTGCCCCCACAAATAGAACATTTTGGTTTTAATTTTTGCACAGTGAAAGTTAATAGTATTTTCCTCCATTTTTCTTTATGTCAGTGATCCAGACCAGTTCATAAATGCACTTTACTTTACATGTCGGGTCTAACCAGAGCCCGCTGCTACAAGAGTCTAGGTAACTGCAGTGAGATCAATAACTAATGTATTTATCCCTCATCCATCCATTATCTTTACCCGTTTCTTCCTTTTCGTGTCACTGGGGTCACTGGTGTCCATATTCAGCTATCACTGTGCAAGAGGCTGGGTACACCCTGGACAGGTCTCCAGTCCATCACAGGGACACATAGAGACAAATGAGACAAACAACCATTCACACTCTCTCTCACACCTAGAGACAATTTAGAGTTACCAATCAGTCTAATGCATGCTTTTGGTCTGTGGGAGGAAAGCGGAGGACCTGGAGAAAACACACACACATGCACAGAGAGAACATACAAACTCCAGCCATGCCCTCCCTAGGTGTGATTTGATCCAGCAACCCTCTCGCTAAGAGGCGGTGGCTTTACCAACTGCGCCACCGTGCTGCTCCATTTCCCTCATAATTCAGAAAATATTTAAAACTTTTTAAAAAATGCACTTCAGCATTAAGACATGGATATCTGAGCTTTGGTCTAGCCTATACACAAGGTAATAGTTAACATAGTTTTACCCTTAAATTAGGTAAAACAGATGTTTAAACTAAAAACTAATACTCAAGATAATATCACAAATATTGATGTTTTCAGTTAGCTGGCGTATGTCTACTGTCCTGTCCAGTCCAATCCTGTTTTACAGTAATTATAGCAGACTGGCCTTGTGATGGACTTGCGACCTGTCCAGGGTGTCCCCCACCTCTCGCACAGTGACTACTGGAAATGGGCACCAGTGTTCCCTTCGACCCAGAAAGGAAGAAGCAGGTAAAGATAACAGATGGATGGATAGTCTAAAGAGAGTAAAGACCTTATGAAAAATTGTATTTGACAGATGGGTGAGGTTAGGTTTTTGTCTTCAGATACTGTATCTATGGTCTCCCACCATGTAGGCAGTTACTTCGGATGCTACATTGCACCTGCTAAGATGGCGGCACAAATTCTCACCTCATTACCATATACAGCAGTACACGGTGGTTGGATATTCCTGTGTATTTCTGTTTTGCTAATCCATATTTTTATAATTTCCATGGTGCAAACGCCAAAAGATAAAAAAAAAAAAAAGGTACAGGACCTTGCTTTTTTGGCAAACTACATGTGCAATGCTTTGGTTGTTGGACGTTTTATAAAAAGTTTGTTTGTGCAGATGTTAAACATCTGTTGTGTTCATGATAACTGAGCTGCAGCTGACTTCAGCAGTATAAGCACAGAGCAATAAAAATCACTACCTTGAAGAATGTCATTGTGGCACCGTCCTCCACCACCCCGTACAAGATTTTAGTTTGTTTGGCCAGGTCATCAGCAGAGTCTATGGGCGACTCCATCCTCTCCACGGTGAGGAAAGCAGCCAAGTTGGCTGTGTATGAGGAAATGATGATGAGGGTGAAGAACCACCAGATGCCTCCAACTATTCGAGTTGACAGGGCTTTGGGCATGAGCTCCGAGCCTACGATGAGGGAGGTGGCAGGAGTGAATGTTACACTGAAAAACACGCTCTTCGTAATTTGTCTTGATCATGGTTCTAATCATCTTATGTGACTAAACTTCAAGTTTTGGCTCAGGCAGATGTGCCTTTGTCTTCATGATTCAATCACTTGGAAGACCTCTAAACACGAGATGACTTCAAACTCTTCAAACAAGCTAAACTGTCTTGAAGTAAGTGTGGCAAAAACCCAAAAGTACTCTGTAAAATGTCTTCTGGGAACAAAGCATTTGCATAAATCAATTATTCTTAATCAAACACAGTCAGCATTGATTGTTCAGAACAGTGTGGAAAAGTAAGAGGCTGTTTGAGTCAGAGAGTCATGCACCCAAGGTAACCTCACATCCTGACTCCACACCCCACTGATCTCAAGGTGCTGATAGGCCACTGGCAAGAGAACAGGAGAATGAATATCGGCAGCTGGATCATCATATTATTAGAGAGTTTTACGGTTCGTGCTGCTGCTTAGACTGGATCACTTTGAGTTTTCTTTTGATTCTGGTAACGATCCACAGAGAAAACATTGCATCATCCGAACAACTACTGCAGGCTTGCTACTAGAGTGGAGGAGATACTTAAGAAGTATTGAATATTTATTCATTTAGTCCAGCATGATAAACACAAAGTGGACTTTATGTAGTTAAGCTGTAATCTGATTTTGTACTGTTTTAAAATGTCCAGAATTTGAAGTGTGCACACAAATGAACGGACAGAAAATAGGCTATATGTGTGAGCGCTAATGAAGCATTCACACTATCGTGATCCATTTTTCTTCCGTATGTTTTTCGGCACGATTCTTGTCCTGCAGTTTTCAAGTCATTTCAACGAATCATATCAAAAATGTTCTGCTTTTTCAAGACAATCCTGCTATGACTTTTGGTATTGGTGCAACTTTAGCTTTTTGAAATATTTAGCCTTTTCTGCCATGTTTTTTTTTCTCATAGAAAATGACTTGAGCTCATTTTACATCCTTCAAATCTTTAGATCTGTTTACATCCTTTTACTGCTCCTTTCACATTTTGTTCTGGTTCATCTTCTTTCAGCGTCCTTGTGCCAATTAGAAAAATCAGCTATTTTCAGCAAATTTCAGCTGTTTTGTGCACCTTTCAGATTATTTCTGCTAACTGCAACATTTTTGTGCTTATTCTAATTTCTTTCTGTTAATTTCAGCTTATTATGTTCTTTTCAGCTTATTTCTGCAAGTTTCAGCTTTTTCTACTATTTCAGCTATATGTTTTATGCTAATTTAAGCCTTTTCAGCTAATTCCACATTTTATGCACTCATTTCAATTTCTTTCAGTCTAACATTTTTCAGTCAGGTCATCTGGACAGTTTCTTTTTTTTGTGCTGAAACGTTTCACCTTCGATCCGGAAGGTTTCAACAAGGAAGAGGGCCGGCAATGGAGGAGGGGCGTACCAAAGAGACCATCTTTTCACAAGCAGAACTGGTTTGTTCCACTTTGGAGTAAGCTGTTGGGGGAAGAATCAGTTTTGTTGTGTGTTTCCTTGACTGATGAAGCCTTCCGGATCAAAGGCGAAACGTTTCAGCACAAAAAAAGAAACTGTCCAGATGACCTGACTGAAAAATGTTGGATTGTATACCTGGATTATTGAGCATGGATTTTGTTTCTTTCAGTCTAATTCAGCAAAAATGTCCTCTTTCCACTTCTTTCTTGTAATTTCAGCATCTTTCTGCTTTTTTAGCTGCTTTTCGGCAGTTTTTTGTTGTTGCTAATTTCAGTTTTTTTCAGATAATTTAAACTTTTTTGTGCTCATTTCTGCTTCTTTCAGCAAACATTTTCTTTCTGCTTTTTTCTTCTAATTTAAGCTTGTTCTACTTTTTCAGCTACCTTTTTAGAATTTTTTAGCTAATTTCAGCTGTTTACAGATAAATTCATGCTTTTCTTGGTGATTTCTGCTACTTTCAGCCTAATTAACTTCTTTCTGCTAATTTCAGCTTTTTATGCTTCTTTCAGCCTTTTTTCTGCTAGTTTCAGCTTTATCTGCTATTTCAGCTACTATTTAGCTCTTTTTAGGCAAATTTGAGCTTTTTCAGCTAATTGCAATTTTTTAGTTCATATTAGCTCTTTTCACTTCCATAGATTAAGCTTCGTTCCACCTTTTCAGCTATTTTCAGCTTTTTAAGCTGATTTTCTAATTTTTAATGCTCATTTCTGCTTCTTTAAACCTAATTCAGCAAACGTGTTATTTCGGCTTTCTTCTGCTAATTTAGGCTTGTTATTTTGATTCAGCTACATTTCAGAATAGTTTTAGCTAATTTAAGCTGTTTTTTCAGCAAGTTCTTCTGCAATAAGCACCCACACTTCATTTTCGCATGAAATATAATTTCTCTAGTTTAGTTATACAACCACAACATCCTTTGTGTTGTAGCTACATTGTACATTTTCTATTAGACAACAGAACAGGATTCTGTAACAAAAATCGATCAAGTAATATATGTCATTGCTCTAAATGTGTTTCTTTTGCATGATTTAACTCACAAATTAAAGCAAATAAACAATTTTTTCACTCAAATATGCTGTTAGTTTTTTTTTTATTGTTCTCATTGGTCTTAATGGAAGCCCTTTCTCTTATATGTTCATACTTATGGAACAAAATATTATTGTATTTCTTCTAAGGAATCAGTTTTAATGCCGTTTGTAGCGCTGATCTTTAGTGAGAAGCTATTAATAATTATATGGAGACAGATAAAGCATATGTACACTGACTGGATGGCATACTAGGAAAACATTGAAACGAACCAACCTGACACTTTGCTTGTATCAAGCTTTTAAATCATTTTGACACAAAACATAATTTAACCTATTTTAATAATTCTGGTTTTATTGGTAATACAAAAACAGCTTCTTTCATATTTACATTTCAGGCTTTGTATTAGTTTGCATTAACCATGAGCTTAATCCTGCTAAAAACCTTCAGAGGTCTCTTTCTTTTGCCACTGGCTTTGTTAAAAAATAAATCCAGCCCTTGGGAACAGTGGGGTACAAAGAGCTTTAGCTCCACAGAGCAACAGCAGCCACAGGATGAGGCAAGTACCTTGCTGCATGAGAGCCCCAACTCCAAACCAGAAACTATTGAGCAGCGTGAAATTGTTTTCCACCACGTCCGAGTCTGGGTTGCACGGATGTGGGTTGTACCATTCATAGGGGCTAAACCTATAAAAGATAGAACATATAAAGAGACAAAGTCAGCACACAAAGCATCGGACTGTGAGTTCTCTGATGTAAATCAAACGGCTGATAAAACAGAACTCTTGACACAGGAAGAACAAGAGGAATGTAAATGTGTAGGTATTTGGGTTTTGTGCATTAGATCCGAGCTCTTGAAGAAACTGAAGAAAATCATTTGTGCTCTCGGTGAGATAAACATATTGACATATTCAAATGTCATCCGTTTTTATACGAGAATGGATCAATAAATTGTAAAAACACTGCCACTGATGATAATATCTGCGCGTGATGATCTCGGAGCACATTTCCATCTACTTTGGAGCTTCTAAATGTTTCCCCCAGCAGCCGTAATCACTGGTAATTTGCGGCTAAATTCGCCTCACACTTTTCCTCCCCATTTTCTTTTTGTTCTTTCAGTTCCTCAACAGCCATTTCCCATCTCCTTCCTGGCAGCTTTTCCTCTTTTCTCACTCCCTCTTCACACATTCACCCTGTTTCTTCAGCCTGTACCCTTCCCCGTCCTATAACAACCAAAACCTTATTTTACCCTCGCAGCTTCTCTTCCCCTATGACCCTCCCCCTTTTACCCCCATCCATCTGCTACCTGCCTTGGCAGATTGTCAGTGTCTTCGGGTTACTCGTGGACATTTCTCATTTATTATCCTAAGCAAAAGTGGCACGGCATTAGCGCAAGGTGATTGGGTTAGTGTTAAGCATCAGGAATTGATTGAGTTTGTGCTGAAGTGGTTGATAGAGAGAACATTGCTTATGCAGAGTTGAGGGGCCTGTCAGCTAATGCTGGTGAGGAGCTTTTCCCCAACTTGGTGCATGCTAATAAGCCTGTGGGCATGTCTTAAAGGCTTAGACTGTTTAGAAATGTAATGCCAATTTGTCAGCAGTGGTTGTTAGAGATGCAGAGGAGCAGATGCTCATATGGCTGTCTATGTGAGGATATTTACTGACAGAATATACGACCAAGCAGCTTCTTTTAACCCAAAACGATGGTTTGGATCTTTTGAAGTGGGGTTTCGTGGAAAAGTTATAAACAATTAAAATTTTACACTTTGTAGATAGCTCTTTGGATTGCTTCCATTCAGGGAAATGGGATTTAATTGAGTCCGTATTGATGAGCTAACAGCTAGTTGGAGCGGCGCCTAGATCAAAGTGGATTGCTGTCTTCTTAAAACACCGCTAATCTAAAACATGCCTTGGGAGATCTTATTACCTGCTTTATACATTTTTAGATCGCACTTGTCACCTTTTCATTACATAGTCATTTTCATGAAAATGCAAGCGCTAATAGCAGCGACTAGCTTTAGCACTTTTGGCGCTAAAGCTAACTGGTCTCTTGGTTACAAACACTTAGAATTCAGTGAGACTCTAACAAAACTTGGTCTAATTTTGTTGCCATTTTGAATTGCCAACTACAGTAGTATCTAACAGTTGCAGCACAATGAGATACTGGCCTTAGCATGACAGTTAGCTAAAGCATGAAGCTAACTGTCATGCTAATTCAAAATGGCAAGAGAAATAGACCAAGTTTTTGTTGGAGTCTCATTGAATTCTGTGTTTTTAACCAAGCGACCAGTGAGCCACGAGTCTGCATTTTAGGCAACAAAAGTCACAATTAGTTTTCATGTGCATGACTTGCAGAAATGTAATTCAGGCCATGCTGAACATTTTATTGCCTACCTCTCCTCACATTAGCTCTGCCCCCACATGTATAATTTAATCGACTGGAGTGGGCTACACTTTAAAAATTAAAGTAAGCAAATTTAGGCCAGCTTTTTAAATTATTCTATCCTCAATCTGGTTTCTGAATAAACCAAGAGAAGAAGTCTTAAAAACGCAGTTCTAATCAAACCAGGGTTCTACAATAACTAAAATGTTTACCTGAAAACACAAGCAGAGTGTGTTGTGCTTTTTCCTGCAAGCAGCGTCCACTTCATTACACCTGCACTGAGAGTTTGTGCATATTCGTGCACCAGTTGTAGAAGTTGGAGCAAATAAATTGTATGATATGGATTCACTCCTGGACATCTAAGGGCATCACAAATCGGTTAGTACCGCACTTTCTGCCGTACATGTCGCATCAGTCCAAGTGTGTCTAATAAAGTGGTGGAAAAAGCATAAATAAGTCGCTTTGCTGCATGAGTCATATCTATTATGCTTCACTGCTGACTTGACGTGTTTGTTAAGATAAGAGAGAACTTTATTGATCCCGCAAGAAATTGTTGTGCCAGAGTTATGCGTCACCGCTGACCACTCGTAGACGTAGGCCGGTGTTATGCCAAAAAACGATTGGCTGCCAAATGGCGGCCGCGGGAGCGTGCACGGGAGGATTTTAACAAGAATTTAACAATATTAATTAAAAACAATTATTTGTTTGCTCGACATTATAGTAAAGGTGTGTCTTACTTGAACTTTTCCTTAATAAATGCACTTTAACGGTCAAATCAGCTGCATTTCGCCTGGGCGGCGCGGCGACATGCATCTGATTTTACATTTGCTCAAGGTGTTCCTGAGTGAGACGAAGGTGGCTTAGTATGGCAAGCCTAGTGTCTCATTAATAGCCACTTTTACTTATTAATGAGACACTTGGCTTGCCATATCGCTCGAAAATGGTAGTGTTCAATATTTCCCATGTCAGAATGAATTAAATCGTCAGATATCAGCCAAAAATGGGGTTATAAACATGGGGAATTAAACGTATATTAGTCGCTTAGGTGTATAAGTTGCAGGATTTGCAAATTCATGCAAAAAGGAGCGACTTATACAGCGAAAAATACGGTACTCATTCAGCTCAAACTAGCTGTTAGCTTGTCAGATCTGGTCAAAATTAAACTCCATTTCATACATTATTTTCATCAAGTAAGATATTAATTGTTTATAACAACGCCACTGAACCACACTTTTAACAGCTCAGAGCTATTATTTTATACTTGACAAACTGCAGATAATAGGACCAGTGATTGAAGTTGCACCTGAAATCAGATTCTTTTGGGCAAACATTGGAAAAACACAGCCATAGAAAGAGTGTCCAAGTCATTTACTGCCCGTTTTATAGTGGGATATTTAAAGAAAGCAGACGAGCAACACTTCTTCAGGTGAATGGGAATGTCAGTACAGGACGTGATCAGACTGTGTCAGCAAGAACAGTCCGTCCACAGTTACACAGTGAAAGGATATTTTAGTGGGGTTGCGGTGCATAAACCTCTCATTACACAGATGAATGCACATTTAAGACTTCAGTGGTGCAAAAAACACAGATGCTGGTCCAGAGAGGTGTGGAGAGGAAAAAAAAAAGAAACCATTTGTCGCCGTGAGTCATCCTTCATCAGGAGGATAAAACAGATCTGAGTGTGTGATGTTGTTAGAGCACACTGTTGGCATGGTTTTACATGGTTTTACTTGTCCCTTAGGAGAAAAAGATCACCACAAATCAATACAAACGCATTTTTGACCACCTTTGTGCTTCATAATTATCCGATTTGTTTCGTTTTCTTACAAGTTCTTCTTCTGCACGGTGTATCCACGCATCATTTTTAACATTTCTTTTACTTGACATTATTCTGTATTTGATCAATGAATGTAGGAATTTGAAATGCACGGTGAAATAATGGCCTGTTTATTGCACTATTGTCGTATAAATGAAAATGCACGTGCCTTTTCATCTCGCTTTAATCTTTTCTAATACTGTGCTTTGATTGATTTATTTTTTTTAGCATCAGCCTAATTAATCTGGATTTTACGATGTGAATGCAGTTAGAATTGTTTTCCCTGTTGCATTTCCTTTGCAGCTATTTGCAATTTCTTCCCCTCACGAATCATCTGTGTGGACATGGCGGTGATGACACGCCATAATTCTTCCTGTCAACACCATCAGGACGCCTGATTTACTGGAATGCCAATGAGCTCTGTCTCCTTGGAACCACAGGCAACTGTAATGGCACAATGGCCTTGTGGAGCTGAGTGGAATGCAGCTTGTGCTCTTGAATGTTTCTGCGCTGTTTATTCTTGTACACATCAAGTTGTTGGTGTATGAATGCTCCTGCAAAATAATAAAAAAATGCATCATGGCTATATGTGTGCATATTTTGGTTGTAGCAGCTGTGTGTGTTTGTGTTGGCCCTATCGAATCCATCTCAGAGCCAAACACTTTTGTGGTCGCTCACAGTCATTATATATAATGTGAAGCCGCAGCCTGAGGCAGATTGAGAGCGACACGAGATGTATGCAGACTGCAAGATTGTGGGTGTAGATCTATATAATGTGCACTTGATTGGATTGTGTTTGCTCCTCGCGGCGTCTACGTGTGTGTTTTGAGAGCACAAGGCCTGATGGCTCCTCTGCACGACCTTTGCCTGTGGCTGGCCGGCATTACTTGCACGCCGTGTCCTGCACGGCAATCGCTGGAAAGAAGGGGGGAAGTGGAGCTCGCAGACGTAAGGTCACCTCCTCACAATGAGCTCAGGGGACGTGTCGAATTGTACGTTGAATTTTAAAAGGACTTTTCTCCTCTTTCGCTCTCCCACACCATGTCCCTTCTCCTCCCCTTCACCCGTCCTGACAATAATACCGCGAAACACCCTCTCTCCATTAACTTTCTGTTGGATTCAATTTCTCAGCCTGGGTTTATAGATCTGTTGCCTCATCTCTTGCAAAGTAAAGAGGCTACGTTGCCGAGATCTTAAAAAAATAAATAAATAAATTACAAGCGTCGAGAAGTCAGACGACAAAACTGTAAATCACGCGTAGGCATAAAAAGAAAAAAAAAAAAAAGCAGTTTAAATAATCCATTATTCTGTTTAGGAGGTCATTGTGTGCACGGAAAATGTTTTGTCATCGGAGAGAGCAGCATTTGTTTCGCAAACAAAGAGAGAAATCAATTCGAGCACAAACAGAGCTGGAAGAAACCACTGAGTGAAATGTGCTTCTGCGGAGCTTGAAATGAGATGAAAATGTAAAGTGTATGTGTGTGTGAAGCGACTCAAGGACATGAATCCCCGGTGAGATTGAGGTGTTTGGTGTTTTATTGTGCAAAACCGGGGCTTCATACGCTCACTTCACTCACTCGATTTCCAGGGGATTAAAGAAAATAATATACCCAGCATTTGGGAGATTGTTTAATCAATCGGTGGCTGTGCAATCAATACAACAATTATGAGAGGACCAGCTCAGCAATTGTAGAAAACACTGTATTTGAGGTTTGGCTGCATATTTTTGGCAACGTAATGATGAGCAGGCCTATTTAAGTGTATTATGCATAAAATAGAAAAGAAAAACCAGCAGTTTAAGCTCATAAAAGGAGAATGTTATAACTTACTAGAAGCACTGTCAGTTTATCAGAACCAGTGGAATATTATAATAATAGTTTCATGCACATTACTTACCCTGACCAACCGTAGGAACAAAAGGCTATGGGCATATTTTGCATGTTCTGAACTAACTTAGGTGACAGTTGCTGCTTTCCTCTCGTGTGCTCATTTTGCCGGTAACATTTGCTAAAATGTGCATTAAACCCAAACCTCTCAGGATGAAAGGAGAGGAGCCCTGGGGTTAACACACATCACACTGCATCAGTCATGCAACAGGGATTTAGCAAGGTTTATTCAGATAAGAACTGTACACCGTACGGTTCTTACAGCTCATTATGACAGCTGGTCTTTCAGTCGCTGGTGCTTGTGGGAAAGTGCTTTGTTCATTGTAAGAAAAATTTAAAGGCCATACAAGTGATTTTTATTCTTTGATCTTTAAATGTGACAAAATGATTGAAACTTTTTCTCTACTTCTAAGTGCACTAAAAAAAAAATCACTGTAATGCCACTTTGATTGGTATCCATGCTGCTGATCTCATGCTGCTGATCAATTCATGCTGCTGTATTCATTCATATTCATTCCTATTCGTCTGCTCACACAGACTCATGTTCGTGCTGCTGTTTTTCGGCGTATTGCTTTGCACTATAAGTGTTTAACGTATTCTTAGTTTATGTCTTAGATCCTTATTACTGTTTCTTTTTACAATTTATACTTTTGCTATTGTTGGGTGTAACTGGGACCCTGTGTTCACAATTTCGTTCCACCTCATGTACCACGTGTGACGCGAATGATAATAAAACCTACTTGAACTTGAACACTAATCATTGAAACTAGAAATTAACCGATTAAAGCATTTATACGGTGATTCTGAGTTCTACGTTTTGTAAAGCTCTGTCCAACTGATTTGGTCTATTAGTTTTTACTATAACGGACAACATTAAAAACATATTTTCCTTAATTTTTACTTGAACTGAAAAAATTGACAGTGTTCACAACAAAACATTTACATTAGCATTTTTACGAAAACATCACTAGCTTACTTGTTCTTTTTAGTCAATGGAATACAACTAATATTGTCCAATTAACATGACACAAATAACTTCCAACCATAAAAAAAGTTACAGTATATCTTTTTTATAAGCCAGATTATGGTTGTCCAACTTTGTTTTCTAATTAAAATGCATCAAATTAAAGAAGATAACTTTTTTCCCGACAAGATGACAATTTAAAACAAATTGCAGCTATTTTAAGTAAATTATCTGACAATTAATAATCACTGAGCAATAAAATGAGCAAGAGACATACCTTAAAACGTCTATTTTTCCTTTTAGTAGCTTTTTATTTCTCTACACTTCTTACTCAGTGGTAGTCTTAGAGGGTGGAACAGAGCGGCAACAGCCCAGAAAAATATTTTCCCACCCACTTCCAGTTGCCACCCTATTTATAAGTTAGTTATTATAACATATTTTCTTTTACTTTCTGTACAATGTTGAAAGTCACTTACTGGACATCGGCAAAGAAAATTTAGTCCCTATCCTAATGCACAGGTTTAGAATTTACCCGCTCTGCTTGAATTTCAAAATGGTTTCACGCAGCAAATGGAACAAGATATTTTACCAGTGGTAGCGATGGTTTCAGAACCGGCAGGCCGACTTCACTAATGGTAGGCAACTGCTTCTCAGTTCAGCAAGTGGCAGGTAGAGTCTATTCATTTCATTATCAGATGGGAGCTAAAGGTAATCTTCCGTATCAAATGATTATAGTTTTCATAATTTTTTTTAGCTCAGCTTTTTAAATGTAATTTTAAGAGTCAGAAACTGCTTTGAAGAGTTTTGTGAGAAGCTAAACACTCGGACAATCTCTGTGGTATTGTTCTGTACACTGTATGGTGTGTATTGATGTGTGTTTTATATAATTTATATGAATAGACAAATAACCTGAAAGTAAACTTTCCCATTGCAATTAATTTTGCCTATCTGCTGGAGCCTAATGCCCCACCTTTATGGGGTGCCATTTGTAAAGTTACACAGTCAAAAATTAACAGCAATATCTTGGTTTATTTAGCCTTTCATAAGAAAAATTAGTTTTTTTCAAAGTCAGATTTTCACCGATATTCATACATTTATAAATGCCATGGTTCCAAACTAAATACTTAATTTACAAGCTAAATATTTACTTTACAAACTAAATATTTAACTTGCAAGTTAAATATTTAGTTAGTAAGCTAAATTTTTTTGCTCCACACTAAATATTTAGTTTACAAACTAAATGCTTATGTCCAAGCTAAATGTTTAGGTTACAAAACTAAATACTTAAATTGCAAGTTAAATATTTAGGTCTGAGCTAAATATTTAGTTATCAAATTCAATATTTATTTTGGAAATTAAACGTTTAGCTTGGAAAATAAATATTTCGGTCAAAGCTAAATATTTAGTTAGGAAATTAAATATTTAGTTTAGGAATTAAATGTTTAGCTTAGAAATTAAATGTTTAGTTTGGAAAATAAATGTTTAGTTTGGAAAATAAATATTGAGCTTTGAGATTAAATATTTAATTTACAAGCTAAATATTTAGTTCACTAACTATTAGTTTGTAAATTAAACATTTAGCTTGGACATAAACATTTAGTTTGTAAACTAAATGTTTAGTGTTGAGCTAAATATTTAACTTGCAAGTTAAATATTTAGTTTGTAAATTAAATATTTAGTGTGGAGTTAAATATTTAGCTTGCTAACTAAATATTTAACTTGCAAATTAAATATTTAGTAAACTAAATATTTAGCTTGTAAATTAAATATTTAGTTTGGAACTATGGCATTTATAAATGTATGAATAACATAGTGAAAATATGACTTTGAAAGAAACAAACATTTTTTTTCTTATGAAAGGCTAAATAAACCAAAATATTGCTGTAAATTTTTGACTGTGTAACTTTACAAACAGCACTCCATACACCTTCACCCCCTTAAAAATGTACATTTGTCACTGCTCTCAATTTACGTTTATGTATATTTCAGATTTTTAGATAGCTAACACTGAGTTTTCCTTTTTAAGTAAAAACATAACTCCCAAAGTCTATTACTACAGTGAATTATCTGTTATTTATGCACATTTAAAGGCCCCCATAGTGGTTTTTTCCTTTTAGTGCCAGTCATTGGTTGAGCTGGTCAAGCTGAAAATCGCCTGACTCCACTCAGTGTTTGAGCAACTGGTGCATACGTCATTAAATCAAAACAAAAAAAGAGTAGATGAAACGTGTTGAATCACTGGTATGGTCTTTAACAAACAAACTCCTTGTTCCTAACCCATATTATGATCACACGTCATCTATGGTTAAAATGCTTTTTGCAGAATGGGATGAAGCAACAACCTTATGTTAGTACGGCAAAGCAGGCAGACTTTAGAGGGAATTAAAGGAAACGAGCTGTGGGTTGACATGTTACCTGGCTATGACAAACAGCACACAACTGACACCCAAGCAAGCCAGCAGAATATACATCCAGATATCAGGTGAGAGTGGGTTGAGGAAGGAGAAGACCCCAGGGTTGGTGCCGTTGGGCTTGCGGTACAGAATACTTATCCCAAGTGTCATAAAGGGCTTCGAGAAGTCGATGACTTTCTCCCGGACGTAGGTGATGGCCAAAGGAGCAACAGCAAGGTCAGCTTTCTGCAATGAAATGACAGAGAAGAGGTGCTATTATTTAAATGAATTAAAAAAAAGATTTTTTTTTTTTTTTGTTAAAAGATGAGTTGGACATGTATCGGAAGAAGACGTGACACGGAGAAGTGTCTTACTTTAGTAGCAGGTAGGAGGCTGTGATATTATGTCTGATCCCTCTTATGTGGTGCCAAAGGTGAGTCACAGAGGCAAGAATCTTTGTATTAAATTAATCTGAGACAAATTAACCCCATGTCCCCTCTGAACGTTCTGTAACATCAGCTCTTTGTGCTGCCGAAGCTCTCGCTCCGCTCTATTTTTACATAATCCTTCCAAGAAATATTTTCATCGCCAAAAATTCCAGGGCGTATATTCTTACCCCCTTTTTTATCTTTTAAGTTTCTGCTCAGGACTTTCTTTGCAGGTGGCACTTTTCTTTTCATATCTTCAACTACCAGTGCACATATATGAAAAACAACCCATCAACTTATAGGATTTGTTAAATGTTTATCCACTTTAGTCGTTTAATATACTTTAAACCTCAAAACCTATATAAATACTGCTGCGTTGTGATGGGAATTTGTGATAAACGTCTATAAACTGGCTGACTTAAAGTCATTTCTGTGTTGACTAATGTTGATTGGCTGTGGCGGCCATTTTGATTTGGATTGACTCCACAAGTTTAATCAGCTGTAAATGTACATCCACTGATTACTTTCAAGGTTTAATACAATCTGTTAAGTGGTTCCTTTTATTTTGCTAACAGAGAAACAAAGGTTGACTCTGACGTTTAACAGCAAAGTTTTAAGCAAATAGTTTATGTAATGAGGAGCACTTTGAGTACGTGTTGTGAATAACTCTGTTACAGCCAGACCTAATTTTAACACATTATTTTTAAGACTGACAGAGTTATTTTTTTCTTATCTATGGTCAGCTACCACTGGTGGTTATAAATTCAATTATTTCCCCAAGTTAATCAGTTTTAGAGGTACAATCGAATATTGTTTGAAAGTTTTATTAAAATCTGGCTAGTGATTTTTTTTACAATATTTTGCTAACAGAAAGGCATAACCAAATCATTAATGTCAAAATAAATAAATAAAACATCTTGGGCCATCTATCAGTACTCAAAATATATATTTAGGCTCAGTCTCAGGGGTGCTGTGGTGTAGAGGTAGGGCAGCCGACTTGGGACCAGTCACATGTTCAACTCCCCGCCGAGCCCACATGTCGAGGTGCCTTTGAGCAAGACAACTAATCCCTAATCGCTCCTCGGTAGCTTACATAGTTGCCTGCTGTTCCACCTAGGTATATCTCACATGTGATGGGTTAAATGCAAAGCACAAATTTGATCATTTTACAGAAACATACAATGGCAACATACTGTATAGCACTTTTTATATATTTTTTTACTACCATACCAAATACTAGGTCAGTATGACAAAATTTCACTGAGTGATAGTTATTTTTTGTGTTTTAAAGGTGGGGTTGTGGCAGCTATCGTGTATTATGCTGATTCCAAAAATATTAATTAGTGATAAATGTACTTCCTGTGATTATTCTCTGCAAGTTACATGAACATTTGTCTAGTGGTTCATGTTATATTTTTCTGGCAGGCACACACACATATATATATATATATATATATATATATATATATATATATATATATATATATATATACACACACCATGCACAAAATGTGGTGGGTTGTGATGATCGTCATTGAAACATTTTATTTTGATGACATAGCCGGTTCCCATATGAAAAAAACTTAAGAAGTTTTTTGCCTCAGATGAGAAAGAAAATAACACATTCCTGCGCTTCAGCAACAAACAAAGTGCCTATTTTATCCAACCCTGGTGATTGTTGACTCACATGGTCCATGAGCTCGCGCACCATGCCGTTCCACTGGCCTGTGCTCTCATCAAGTGCTCCATACTTCCCATCTTCCACTAATCGCACCTCATATCGGAAGCCCAGGATGCCGGAGAGTTCCCTCAGCAGGTCGATACAGTAGCCCTCAAAGCGATCGTTCCCATACAGAGGCTTGTCAGACTTCTTGAACATCACATACGGCTCCTCCTGCAGGGAGAAAATAGGCTGGTGAAGTCATGCAGAAAGCGTAGTGCTTTGTATTTGATTGTGATTCTTTTTCTTTGACTGATGCTTTTTTTGGTTGATGGGGGTCATGTATACCAGTATAGTGGATACACGCAGGGATTTGTTAGCCAGAGAGTCGGTGATGTTGGATGTCTTGCTTTTGTGAGATTCTGTCATATTCAGACTACTGGGAGGATCCCATGTTCCAATCTGTAGAAACAATTTAGTGTCAAGTTTGTATCACCTGTCCTGGCTGCAAGGAGGAAATTGAGCACTTCCAAACATCGAAAACATTTTTTTTTTTTAATCTTGCTGAGCGCCAGCTGTTGTAATGAGTGACAAACCTTTTCCAGGCCTTCCTCCTTCAGACTGATAACATCTAGATCGAAATCTGTTCTCAGTCCATTGGTCTTGTTGAAGAGAACACGTCCTGTCAAACCATCCCAGTGAGCCTGAAGAAACAAAAAAATTATAACAATAAATCTCTTAAGCTTGAACATGCTCAACAAAGTCAGCCTAATTGTAAGGCTGCTTATTGCAACTTGTATCAAATGGTGCCGTTCTGAAATGTGGTTACACCCTCATTGCAGTGTTTCTCCTACCATTATACATGCAGGGTAAATGGACTGTATTTAAATAGCACCTTTCTATCTTATCAAGACACTCAAAGCACTTTACAACACAACCTGTGCCCTCATTTACCCATTCATACAGCACTCTACTAGAGCTTATACTATGTATGGTTTCTGGTACAGGTCTCTCTTGTAAATGAGTCCTTGTGACTCAATGAGACTGACCTGTACAATTTCTACAAAGCTAATTGAACAAATCATTCTAAAGAAACTAACCAGTGCTTTAGATCATATTCATGCACTGATGGGACACACATCGGAGGCAATGAGGGATTCAGTGTCTTTCCCAGGGACACTTTGGCACGTGACTGATGGTGGATTCGAATCCCCAACTCTTGCATTGGAGGATGACTGCTCTAACCACTTAGTCACAGCCACCCAGCCCCGTCAACAGAACTGAGTCCCCCCAACCCCCATCGACAACTGCCGGCACTGATGCAGTGCTAAGGTAGCAGTGCACGCAATACAGATGTGCTAGCTACAAAGCTATAGGTAGCCCTCCATTTCTTCATGCTGTGCCGTCTCCCAAGCACCTCCCCACCTCCCCACCCCCGCCCCAAAACTGTTGGAACAGAGTGCAACACAGACATTTCTCGGTCTCCACTGTCTCCACTGTCTCTCCCCCATCGACAAAAATCACGGAAGAGATGAGCGCCCTGCCAAGGCAAGAGATATAGGGGAGACACTGCAATGTAAAGAACTCAACTGAATGCACTGAAAACTATGTGGACGCTTCCATTCATCCATCCATTATCTTCCGCTTATTCCAAAGTGGGGTTGTGGGAGCATCAGCTTGAGCAGGGAGGCCCAGACATCTCTTTCCACAGTCACCTCTTCCAGCTCTTCTGGGAAGACCCCAAGGCATTCCCAGGCAATCCGAGAGCTGTACAGTAGTCTCTCCAGTGTGTCCTGGATCTTCCCCGGGGTCTCCTCCCAGTTTGACATGCCCGAAGCACCTTCTTAGGTAGATGCCCAGGAAGCATCCTGACCAGATGCCCAAACCACCTCAACTGGCTTCTTCTGATGTGGAGGAGCAGCTGTTCTACTCTGAGTCTCTCCTGGATAACTGAATTTCTCACCCTATCTCTAAGGGCGAGTCCAGCTGCCCTGCGGAGGAAACGTGGAAGCTACATACATTTAGCTGGTCGTAGCCTACGTGAGTAAACAAGTGTGGTGGGATTGGGCAAGAAAATCATCTTAGAAAAGACATTTAGTTGGTAAAACAAGATAACTGTCATGAATAAAAATCTGGGAGAAAACATAAAGCGCCATAAAGGCACAAATACATACAACTTTTTGTGAAACTCCTTTCAGCCTGGTAAGTTTACCTTTTCAAACTAACCTATCTTCTTATCAGAATATTTTACTTAATAAACACAAACTAATGCGTCAAATCTGTCAGCCATCTTTATTTCATGAACGTTGCCAATGTTGACCTGTTTTCAGTCATTTCAGCCATTCCCATAGTTAATCAAATGCATGTGGTGGTTGCTCACACATTTTGCTAATAAATTTTGAACTCAGGAACACATTAATCATCAATATGAGAAAAATATTGCGCATGTTTAGTTCATTACTCCATGATATGTTTTTGGCCGGTCTTCCATGACTTTGCAATAACTACCTTTAAACTTTAAATTAAATCCTTTCCAATTAATTCCACCCAACTCTCTGTTCACTGCTTCTGTCTCTGCAACATAACAAGAAACAATAAAGCAGCGAGAACAGAAGCAGCTTTGACAGGTAAGAGTTCATTATGCATGTGGTTCATTGGGCTTGAAGTTTAACATCAAAGCCTTTGGAGGAACAGACTGGCATGGAGAGGCACGGCAGACGCAGGAGGGGCGGGGGAGAAGGAAGCACTGGCTACAACAATGGCTCATTCTGAAAATTACCTGCAATGATACCATCCACAGAATGAAAGAGCTTTGTAGAACAAAGCAAATGGCTGACCCAGACTGGAGTTAAGGAGACACACAGAGGCTTTGATATAAACGCAGGAGGAGATAAGCACAGAGAAAATGTGGGGGGAAAGAGAATGAAACAAAATAATTGTAGTTACTTCGATAAGGCGGGTGGGTTTTTCTTTTCACGATTCCATTTTCACAAAGATTTTTGAGAGTGTCAAGGTTGTTTGAGGAGTGCGTTGGATAACGATGATCACAACAAGAGACAGGGATGAAGAAATGTTTGCTTTGAAGCACATTTAAATTGTTCGGGAGAAAAAATAATAATGAGGTGCTAAATAAATGTTTGTAAACCATGGATTGCACTGCACTGAGTAATACAAATTTAGATTACTGGACTAGCATTCCTTTGCATCTCACCCACAGAGTTTTAGACTGATATCATCTTGTGTTCAAAAGTCAGAGTCGTAGCGGTTTGGGCAAACCTGGAAAAATACATTATTCACAGTCTCATGAGGTATTGTGAGATGTCACGCTCAGATTATGTAAACAATTCCCAGCTACAAGCACATCAAATTTAACTCAACATCTGTACCATTGGTTGTTATAGTCATTTTTGTGTTGGCTAATTTAGATTAGCCGTGGTGGTAATCTTGAATTCGATTGAAGCCCAAAGTTATTCCATTGTAGATGCACATCCAAGATTACTACGGCAAGTTTCATTAAAATACGTTCAGTGGTTCAAGAGAGAGTTTGTCAACAAACAAACATACAAACAAAAACAGATGAAATCATTATTGTCCCTTTGCCATCAGCAGCAGGCGATAATGATAATGCATACCTCTTTGATGAGGTTTATGAAACGGCTTCCAAAGCGCCACGGCTTGTGGCGATTGCACTGCAGGGAGCTGACGGTGATCTGCTGCGACTGCTGCACCGCCACCGCCACCACATGCACTGCGTCGTACATCAGCGCCGCATCCGTCTGCAAGCAGGTACGTAGCATTGTCAGACACTTACATTTTTATTAAGATCTGTTGACCTTTCCTCACCTGTGGAGAAACATGGGAAACCTTTTGAAGATTTTTTTTCTCTCCTTTAACTGAATCAGGATTATTGCTACTTGTATAAATGCCTTGCAACAATGTCAGCGCGTTAGTAAAAAATGTCCGACCAGCGCCTGAGGCAATCGTAACCCTCTGCCAGCGAGTCTTTCAGGGGAAGGATGGCCTGTCAGGGTGAAGACTAATGACTCCTGATGGGTGTGCCTGTTTCCCAAAGAGATGGAGTGCAAATCAGACACTAGTAGGCACAAGACGACTCTGACAAACTCACTCTACATGCAGCACAGACAAAGCTGGGTGTACACTTAAAATTGCATCCCTTATGGCTGCTTTAAAACCCTAGAAATAAGTCATCAAAGAAAGTAAACGCTTGAAATTCCTCAATCTGGTATGCTGAGCTTTATCTTAACCGCTCTGGCAGGCACACATGAATTCCCCCTCATGCCGTCTGTCCACACAGTTTGAAACGCTCTGCATTTGCTCAGGTCAATGCATTACAGCTCAGCTCGAATCCTGTTTTCCAGGGCCCCACACAGGCTGAAACACACTATGATGATCTCATTCGACAAGTCCTGGATGACCAACCTGCGAGGCAGCATAAAAAATTACTTTAGGAGAGCAAAGCATCTGCAGCTACAATGGAGGATCTTTATGAGAGTCTCTGCTGCCGGAAAGAATGAGCCAGGCTGCTGCTCGGCACAGATCTCTCCCCAACCCTTTCAGTCAAGAAAAGCACAAAAATACGCCACTTATTGAAGACTTTTTAATGATAATAAGCCAATTAGTGAGACGAATCTTACATCCAACGGCAAGAAATGACAAGAATTTGGTAAAATGTGAGAATAATGATAAGAAGAAGATGGAGCTCATGTGTGGTTGCATTGATGGATGGGAGCATTTTTAGCCTGTCCCTCAATCCTCCCATGTTATGTCAAAGACAGCAGTAGATCAGAGACAGGGAGGCATCTCTGCACACTTATCCCCTCTCACCCCACCTCCCCCCGAAGGGATGGAAGGGATTGGCTATATAGCCATATCTCCTCTCCAAGCAGCATGTCAATAAATGAGTGGGGATTGTGACCGAAGCTGATTAGGAAATGAGTCTCTCATTTCAATTCCTCTATTTCCTAGAACTGAACAGTTTTATGCATAGCTGGTCTCCAAACAATATTTTCTCCAATAATGTGGAAGTTTGTTATGCTCTGTCATTCAATTATTGAGTTAATTAAATAAAAAGCCATGCTGGTGAACTGAATCCAGCCTCCCCCCCCCGCCCCCCCTTTTTTTTGTTGACAAAGTAGCACAGCTTAATATAAGACAAGATGATGACATAATCTTCACACGCCGTGTAAAAATGACATGCTTTTTTAAATTCAGGCCATGGAATAAACAACCTTTGTGGACTTTAGTAAATCAGATGAGAATTTTCCTCAAAGGTACAGTTTAGATGTTTTGAAGCAGAATACTGCATAAGGGTTATGAACAATATATTACCTTTTGTAGATAGTTCTTTAAATGACCTCAGATCAGAGGATTAGCTTAATTTGGATTGGATTGACAAGCTAACTGGAGCCAAAAACCAAAGTGAATTGCTGCTGTGTCAAAACAACTCCACTCTCGAAATTTCCAAAGCAGTTCATGCAAACCCTGTTTTATAATCCGCTACACTGCTGTCAGTTTTTAATTAAAAGGTTATTCTTGCAGAAACATGATATTCCTGCTGAAAGTGATCCAGGCTGCAACGGAAGAGCAGCAATTAGCTGCTGTTGCTTTTATATTTTTAATAACCCCAAACGTCTATGTAAATAACATGCAATGCAAAATTGACAACAATTTTGTAAATGCTTATAAAACAGCATTTACTTTAAATACTTTGACATGTTTGAGACAACACAGGAAACAACACAGCACAATGACCACTTCGTTGAAGGTTTTTAATGATGTTGTTGAAGCACTGGATGCTAAGGACTACTGTGCTGTACTTTACTTAGACATGTCTAAAGCTTTTGCTACTGCAAATCATGACATTTTGTGCCATAAGCTCTCAGATACTGGTTTCTCAGACCACACTATCTAATTATCTCTCAGGCCGAAAACATTGTGTTCAACACAATGGTTCTTCTAGTTAACTGTCAATAATGGTGTACCACAAGGCTCAGTCTTAGGACCCACTCTCTTTACAATTTTTATAAGCAACGTAGGTCAGAACATTCCAGATGCATCCTTGCATTTCTATGCTGACGATACAGTTGTTAATTGTTGAGCTAAAATATTTGCTAAGGTTTTCCAGCTTTTACAGTCTGCATTTGATATCATTCAGTCAGACTTTTTCCATCTCAAGTTGGTGCTAAATGCTGATAAAACCAAAGGGATGTTGTTTTCAAACAGAAAGTTGGTACCAGCAGGCCTTCCTCCTATCGTATGTGTCCCTATTATTGCCCCCACATGTAAAAGCTACACCTGAACTAAAAAAGTTTGTTTACATGACTAAATCTTGGCTAAAGGAAAATCAAAGGTATGATAATTTTTAATATTCAGATTTTATGGATGAGAAAGTCTTTGTGGGAGTGTATGTATTAGTGAGTTAGTATTATATTTACAATTTTTTGTATGTTAGCTGAATGTGTGATGATGGGGAGGTATTGAGGATGTGCAGGGATATGAATATAAATTTGGATGTTGCAAGGTTATTTTGGAATTTGTAGAGAGGAAAATGTTTTGTATTGTTATTGTACCTAGATTTTTAAATTGTTCATATTTTAATGTATAGTTTTTATTATATGAATTTGGAGGTTGTAAGGTTGATTACATGAATATGTAGGTATTCTTACTGTATTTTGATTGATAAATTGTATTTTAATGCGTAGAAATGCCCAACCAGGGACTCGAGTTGCAAATTAGCTATATACTCTTTGTGCAATGCATCAGTCACAGACTTGTTCTGTTCTATGTTTGTGTTCATTGTCCCTGTCAAATAAACTAATAATAATAATAATAATAATAATATTGAGTTTGTGGATTCTTACAAATATTTGGAAATCTTGGTCAATGCACATCTCTCTTTTAAGCCCCATGTCAAAAACTTGATAAAGAAACTGAAATTAATATTGGGTTTCTTTTTCAGAAATAGATCTTGGTTAGCTCTGAATGCCAGGAAACACCTTATTATAACTGGCTGTTCTACTGTACCCATCACTGCACTCTGTACTCATTGGTCAATTGGTCATCATTATCTATACGTAGACTCTTACACTGCTTTATTTTCATCTTTAAATCACTCCTTGGTCTGCTGCCTTCATACATCTCCTCCTACATGTCACATCGTCAGTGCAGTTACAGCGTGCACTCTCAAGCCATCATCACCTGCAGCATCCCCTTAGTGTGGACTGAACTCTGAAAAGGGACTTCTCTTACTCTGCTCCTGTTTCCTGGAACACCTCGCAAAAAACCCTGAAGCTGTCAACCTTTATCACTCTAAGGGATTTTAAACAACTGTTAAGTTCAATGGAAAAATCACTGCAGACATGTTCCTGTTTTTAGTATTTTACTTTGTTTTATAATGCAGCTTGATTTTATTTTGTTTTATAACACTACTTTTATTTACTTTTTATTTTACATGAATTTTATGGCTGTTTATTTGTTGTCTGTACCTCATCTGTGGTTTTGTTTAAAACAGGTCTCGCTTGAAAATGAGTCCTCGTGACTCAATGAGACTAACCTGTATAAATAAAGATTGAACGAATGAGACTGGGGTTGTGGGCAGCACGGTGGCGCAACTGGTAGAGCTGCTGCCTCTCAGTGAGCAGGTCCTTGGTTCAAACCCCGGTCCAGGGGCCTTTCTGGGTGGAGTTTGCATGTTCTCTCCGTGCATGCGTGGGTTTTCTCCGGGTGCTCCGGTTTCCTCCCACAGACCAAAAACATGCATGTTAGGCTGATTGGTAACTCTAAATTGTTCCTAGGTGTGAATGAGAAAGTGAATGGTTGTTTGTCTCTATGTGTCCCTGTGATGGACTTGCGACCCGTCCAGGGTGTACCCCGCCCCTCGCACAGTGATTGCTGGACATGGGCACCAGCGACCCCCATGACCCAAAATGGAATAACCGGGTAAAGATAATGGATGGATGGATGGATGGATGGATGGATGGATGGATGGATGGATGGAGACTGGGGTTGTGTTGAGACATCAGCATGTAACTTTAATCTTGGCTGTGTTTGAACAAACTGTTAGCTTGCCAATCTGGTCAAATTTAACCTTTATGTATTTAAATTGATAGAGTTTAAGGAACTACCTACAACAGGTAAGATGTTTATAGCCTTTTCATAGAATTCCATTTCAGAACATTCAAACTTTTCAATATTACTGTTTTTAGATGCCTTCATGTTCTTATTTCCTGTTTTACTTATGACCTCAAGTTTCCACTGACACCCTCAACTTTTTCTATTATTTATACATAAATATCATATTCCGTTTCCTTCAGCTACAAACTACTGTAAGCACTGAATTTTCAGTTAATCACCATGGCTCTCTAAAAATATCCCCCCCCCCCCCCCCACCACCAAAAAAAAGACTCCTGGGAGTAAATATGTGACAGCTTTATTTTGTTTAAAAAACAGAAACAGACTGAAAGTTCAGCTTAGAAGTTTATATTTAGTTTACTTTTGATTCTGAAATATGCCCAAGTGTAAAATCCAGCTGGATTGCTTTTAGCACAGCCTTGATATGTGACAGCAGGCTGACAATTTGCTTCATGAAAGCTTGAAAGACAAACTTTAACTTGCACTGTGCTGGGTTATTCTGTGTGAAAAACAAAGAGCATCTACAACAATTGTTACATTCCCACTCTTTGAATTGGTCTTTATACAAAAATAGCTTCAGACAAAAGCAGGTTTGATGCCTTGTCATGAGAACGTCTGCTATTTTTAAATCAAGACATAGATATTT